TACTAACCTGTAAAGGTGGCGCCTGGCTGCAGGTACATCGAAGACGAAGCTGGAGCTATGGTGCCACAGGTGAGTCTCCCTGGCCTCCGCCAACCATCTCTCTCTCTCTCTACTAGCGCCCAGCGCTGAAGACTAATGCTACCGCTACTACTCCTGCAGAGTGCCGCTGCCGAGTCCTGAAGACTACCTCCTGCCGTCTGCACGTGAAGTGCCTAGGAACTGCCTGGAGCCTACAGGGCGGGTCAACATCATATAGTGCTGGCCCGTCCGAGAGGCTGCTCGTGCCTATGCCAAAACGTGCCAGACCCTGGGGTTGACGCTCCACAAAATAGGCCTTAAAGGCCTGAGCTAAAACCCCGGTCTGGGGCCTGAGTTTCAGGGTAGGTCGATCTTGCGAGGGCCTGAAAATGGCCTGTCGTTTTCAGGCTGGAGGCCGAAACGACACAGGGTATGAAACAGGCCCTACCCTTACAGACCCTTAGTCTACCAGGTCGGGCTTTGCTGGGCCCGTGTGAATATGACTTTGTACTGCATAGGCTTGTTGTCGTGCTTGCGGTGCGTGATGACACGGTCGACTTCCTGGTGACCATCCATGGAAGGAGGGTCCTCTGATCGTTGTCCCGGGAAGTCGTCGCTCTTGGCTGGTGTATATGTGGCCAACTTGGAGGCGTGGAAAACCGGGTGCACCGTGAGATGCGGCAGGATTTCGATCACAAATGAGGGGCCATTGGGCTCATCACCCGCGGCTGATGTGACGGTCCATGGTCCAAACCACTTTGGAAGTAGCTTACACGATATATCCTGCTCGAGGGCAAACTCTTCCGTGGAGACCCAAACAAGGTCCCCGGCGCGGATGGGGCATGGCACGCGACGCCTGTTAGCTTGCCGTTGCATGCGGACTTGAGTCTTTTGCATGTTGGCGCAGGCTTTAGCCAGCAAGTCCCTATACTTCCGAACGGAGGCGGGCGAACAAGCAGCGTCAATATCGGCAGTCCTTGGAAAAGGAAGATCAGCAAAGATGCGGCCTTTCCGGCCACCGTGGTGTAACTCGAATGGAGTCACGCCGATCGCCGGGTGCACCGAAGTGTCGTAGGCGAACTCGATGTCGGGCAGGCGGTCCACCCAATCCTTCTGATCCGTACGGATGAGTGTGCGAAGCATTACTTGAGCGGTTTGATGTGCCCGCTCCTTCTGCCCGTCCGTTTGCGGATGCCGAGCCGAACTTGGTTTCATCTCGGTGCCGAACTCTTTCATGAGAGAGGTCCAAAATGTCGACATGAACCGAGGGTCGCGGTCGCTGACGATGTCTTTTAGAACGCCGTGGCAGCAAATCCAGCCGGTGTGTAAGAGGCGTGCAAGTTCCGGAGCTGTGGTGTGGTACTTGCAAGGAAGAAATCGTGCGTACTTGCTCAAACGGTCAACGACCGTGAGAATGTCGTCGTGCCCGAAGCGGTCCTGGGGGAACGGCCCAGTGACGTCCATGGCAATGGAGAGGCCGGGTTCCCGTGGAATAGGCAACGGGCGTAACTCACCGTACGGGTTGCGATTGCGGGGTTTGCTTCATCGGTAAACTTCGCAAGAGTCGCAATACCGAGTGACGTCGGTAATGAGGTCAGACCACCGGAATCGCTGCCGAAGTCTTGCGATCGTACGGTTGACTCCGAGGTGGCTGGCGAGTCTCGAGTCGCGGTACTCGCCGAGGAGATGAGTCTGTAAGCGACGGTCGTGTGGGATGCATAGTAAGTCCTTCCCTCGTGAGTGAAGCAGCAGGTAGCCATCGACGATGCGATAATGGCTGGCCGACGGGTGATCCGAGGATAGTTGCTCGTAGAGCGTGCCGTATTCCGGATCGGAGATATATGCTCGCACAAAATGTTGATGAAGGGCTTCGTCGAAACTGACGCGTGGTGAGTCACTGCGCAAAGATCTGATCTTCGCGAGAGAGCGTCCGCAGCTCGGTTGGAGAGGCCCGGAATGTGTTTCGGTGTGAAGTCGAACTGCTCGATGAAGTACATCCACCGAGAATCGTGTTGCTCACCATGTCTTGCGTCTTGTAGTAGGTCAATGGGTTATTATCCGTCACCCAAGTGAACCTACGATGCCAGAGGAGGAAGTGTCGCCAACGCTTGAGTACCGTGAAGAACGCGAGCAACTCCTTCTTCCGCACATCATCAACCGAGTTGATGGGCGGCACCTTTTGGATGAAGTACGCAACCGGATGCCAAGCTACTTCGTCGTGTTGTTCCAAAACTGCACCCATGTCGTAGCCGGAAGCGTCCGTAGTCACTCTCGTAGGCAAGATGGGATCGTAGATACTCAAGACAGGAGCGAGGAGCAACGCCGTGTTCAATTTGTGGAACGAACTGCGGACTTCATCGGTGAAGTGGAAGGGCACCTGTGGAGACTGCAATCTTGACAAGGGTGTGGCGATCCGTCCGTATCTCGATGAAGTGTTGGTAGTACCCGACCAATCCCATAAAAGAGCGAACCTCCGTGGTGTTGGTCGGTTCTGGACAATCTTGGATGACCTTGATCTTGTCCGCAAGCGGACTGATGCCTTGCGGCGTCACAAAGTGGCCCAAGTACTCGAGCTCTTGCGGTGCGACTTCGCACTTGACTCAGTTGGCCCTGTACTTGGCCGTACGAAGCCTGTCCAAAACAGCACGTAGATGCACGATGTGCTCGTCCAAAGTTCGGCTATACACCAAGATGTCATCGAGGTAGATGAGCACGAACCGGTCCAACATGTCGCGAAACTTCGTTGTCATTGCCACTTGGAAGGTGGTTGGGGCATTCGTGAGGCCGAATGGCATTACGACCCACTTGAAGTGCCCGTACCGTGTCTTGAACGCGGTTTTATATCGATCTCTTGGATGGATCTCGAGCTGGTGGTAACCGGATTTGAGGTCCAACTTGGAGAAATACTTGGCGCCTCCCAAACGTTCGAGAAGATCGTCGATGCGTGAAAGCGGGCTGGCATTCTTAATGGTTTGAGCATTTAGCTTGCGATAGTCAATGCATCAGCGTAGCTCCTTGTTCTTCTTCCGAACGAAGAAAACATGTGCACCGTAGGGCGAGAAGCTAGGGCGAATCCAGCCCTTGTAAATGAGGTCATCAAGTTGCGTTCGAAGCACTTCGAGTTCCTCCTCGCTCATGCGGTAACTACATCCGCGCGGAGGTACGGCCCCGTCTTCGAGGATGATCTCGTGACGAATTGGCCGATTCGGTACGATTTCGGCGGGGGCTTCAAAAACATCGCCATAGGAGTCAATAAGTTGTACAATGCGTGGATCCGGTGGCTGTTCCGCCGCTGGCTCGTCGGGAGGAGGGGGGCCGTGCAAGAAACAAATGCCCATTTCCTCAACGTCGTTCCGTGTGATGGAGTTGCGAATGCTTGCCACGGAGACCACGTGACAACCAATCAAAGGATGAGGTGGGGGGACCGTACATGGCACAAGTACCCCATTCCGGTCACGAACGTGAACGGTGCGGCGGTAGAAGTTCACCGGGTGGTCCTCGCTGCGCAACCATGACGTGCCCAAAATCATGTCGAACTTGTTGTCCAATATGTCAAAGGACACGGCCTCACGTGCAAGCGGGGCGAAGTACATGGGGACGGAGTCAATGCACCGGTCGATGGACTTGTGCGTATGACCGTCGACCAACGTGACTTGCGTGGGCTTCCCGATCTGAATGCGGACGTATAGTAATGGTGCGTCGGTGTCGTCGTACCGTTGCGTCGCGTACTCATGGTCAATCTTCGCAATGTACTCGCGAAGGTCAACAACCGCTACTCCGTCTTCCATCAACGGAGATGGTACTGCAACGTGCAAGTAGTTGTGTAGCTCCGCCATTAGGGCGTTGCAATGCGTCTTCCACAAAGAACCAGATGGGGGAAGAGGCAACCATTGGAAGTCCTCCGGTGTCAATGGGTCGATTTCCTCAAGTCTAGACCACACCGACGAGTCCTCGAGTGATGTAGGCGAGGATGCTGGTTCACTTGGCGATGGTGATGAAGTCGCGCACGCATAAAACTCTTGCACGTGGAGAGGTTGGTCCAACGGCGGGACCAGCTGGACATCATAGTCTTCATAATCTTCACGAAGACTGGCAATATACGCATGTTCCCCGGACGTGGAGGAGGTTGTTAGCAAGGCAACCGTGTCCGACGGAGTAGGAAGTGGAGTCGCCTCACTTCCCGCGAAACTCGGTTTACCGAGCTTTGTCATGGACGGACGTCTTCTTTGCCTTTGTCAGGGCATTGCGACGTCATACGCTTGGTGTTGTTGCACCGGTAGCAACAATTCCACCTCTGGCGGAGTATGTATTGCTCCTTCGTGAGGCTGAACTTCTTCCATGGCTCATTCGGCTGTCCGGCTTCCGTTGTTGACGCAAATTTCGCCTTGTTGTTGTTGTTGTTGTTGTTGCATCGTGGCGGAAGGGCGTTGACTCCGTCTCCTTCACTAGACTCGTGAGTCATCGCCTGGTCGTTCTCCTGTCCATTTCCTTGGACAGCAGCGACTTGCTGTGGCTGCAGGCCTTTGCCCCTTTCCACAAAATTCGGTTGGCTTCGCCGCTCGTTGGCTGCCCACCGATTCGTTTGGACGACTTCGTGCGCCTTCTCCACGATCTGGTCGAAGTCCGTGTACAGGCTGCGCTCCCCAAGGGCCGTGCTCAACACGTCAACTGGCCGCTGGAAGAATTCGCGACGAAGATGTACGAATGGGATGTCCAGATTCGGAATTGTCACGATTTTTTGCCACTCGGTTAGCCATTCGCGTGTTGGCTGGCTGCCTTGATGCATGCTGAAGATCCGGTTCACACCTTTGCCCTGAGCGTCGTCGACGATGAAACGTTTCCGCCACTTCGCAGTCATGGTCTCCCAAGTGATATTGGTGTAAAGCTTAGAGACTTCGACGCCCTCGGTTTGAGCCAGGTGGTTGAGCCACACTTGGCTGGCACCGGTGCTGCAGAGGTGAAGTGCTGGGATCTTCGACTTGGGCGGGACCAGGTGGATGGAGAGCTCATTGGTGAACCCTTGCCACCAATTGATGGGGTCCGCCTTGTGGTAGTCATTAAACCTCTCGATGCTGAACTTCGGCATCTTGAATTGTTTCGGCGTCACGTTGTTGCAGGTCCCAGTTGGTTGTTGCTGCAGTTGACGCAGATCCGCTTGTAGGGCGGCTATTTGCTGGCTGATGGTCGCCGGGTGTCGGAAACTGTTCAAATTTTCGACAAGTGCGGCTAAGTGATCCAGTCGTTCCTCCAGCTCGCGGATCGGTGGATCTATGCTTGACGATGCCGTGTGCCTGTGCAGCACGTCATCCTTCTCCAGCACGTCAAGGCGGGCGTGGAGGCTCTTAAGAGTCTCCTCGTACTCGGTGATGGTACGTGCCTGCCGAGCCAGCTCCACTTGTTGCCAGTTACAAGTGAGGATGACTTGGTGCATCATGGTGGCNGAGCCAGCTCCACTTGTTGCCAGTTACAAGTGAGGATGACTTGGTGCATCATGGTGGCGAGAGCTGACTTAGTCTGGTCCTCCGTAGTTGGTTCCATTGTTTCCGCCGGATCCACATGCCATGCTTGGAGTGCGGCGGTATGAGCGGCTTCCTGCTGCATGAGGACAAACGCAGCATCTCTTCGAGCTTTGTTGTGCTTGGCAGCTGCGTCAGCTTGCTGCCGGCGTCGTTGCTCTTCTGCGCGTGCAATGGCATTGAGGCGTGCCGCTTCGGCTGCCGCCTCACGTTGCTGTTCCTCTTGGACCTGCTGCATGTAGGTGCCCAGGCGGGCCAGGAAGGCCGTCATGGTCTCTCCTTGCTGCCAGACTGGTGCAGCGTCGAGGGTTCCCGCAGATTTCGCAGTGGAACCCTCCTGCTGGGCCTGTGGGGCCCGGGGGTTCGAGCTGCAGGCCTCCCGTGGACTGCCGGATGCGGCATTGTCCACCGTGGGGTTGCCCTGGGTGTCCATGTCAGAGGGGTGGGGCATAGGTAGCTGCTGTTCTGCTACGGCTGCCAACCCTTCCCATGCTGCGATGCGGTTGCTGCGTTAGAGCATAAGCTGCAGTTAGCTGTACGGTGTTGATGACGCGGTACTGCTGACGTGGCCCTGTTCCTGACATGGCACTGTAACTGACGTGGCACTTACCAAGCTGAGGAAACAGACAGGGGGGGTGGGTGGGCGGGAAACACAGGCAAACAACCCAACTGCAATGTGCTTGCCGGCCCTGATCAACAGAATAACAAAAAATTGTTACGATCCTGGCCAATTTCGAAGTATACATTCATCTGAAAGTACAATGCCATCCAATTGCAAAAAGGAATGAATGAACTTGAGAGGAAAGAGAGGGAAAGAAGAAGAAGAAGAAGTGAGAAAGAAGAAGATGATGATGTACTCCAGCATAGACCAATGTCAAGGCTCTTCTTCTTCGCCAACCAATCCCTTCCTCCTTATCTCCTCCCTCTTATTCAAACAAGAAATAACAATAATAATGTTGAATGACTGAACCAGAATCAATGTCCGAATCCCACTTCTACTGCAGGCACAATATGAGGTCCACCATAGCCATGGCCACCCTTCTCTTTCCTCTACATACAGACCGAGGCTATGGCGGACTACTGAGGCTTCAACTCCTGTCCAAAGGACAACCCAAAGCAGCTATACCGCTGCCCCACTTCAAGGTCATCACCAAGCAGCTATGCCGCTGCCCACTCAACCGCCATGCCTGACTCTGCCCCGAGTTTCCTTGATGCGGCACTACCCCCACTGGGGCCTTCCAGATGCAGCGCCTAACAAGGTGATGAAGATGGTGTCTGCCATAGCCAGGTAAGTACCCTACCACTCTCCTCCTTGGTCCCCTTCTCCCTCCTCCTACCGGCAGAGCTCCACCATAGCCAAGGTGGAAGCTCCCGGCTTCTTCCTACCAGCAGCGCTGTAGACCCAGCGCTACTCCAGCCAGCGCTCCAGCAGCGTGTCGCCAAACTTGCACACTGAAGAATGAGGCTGGGCTCTCCGCCCGGCCTCTTGATATAGCGGCCTGCTTGCCTCCTGGGCGGTGACTTGCAGGCCGCTCGGCCTCTCCAAGCAACCGGTACTTCCTCCGTTTCGGGCGGAAACATCATTGCAGACCCTGATATTACCCGTACAGGCTCTAGACTCAGACTGGTTGGACTGGTACCGGCCTAGACCTACCCTACCGCTACTGGACTCTAAAAATGCCAACTTTGTCTTTTTCTGCTCGGCCTCCAGTACCCCCTCACGCCAACTGCAGTGGGGTGCAGTATCCGCCTACCGGCCTACTCGAATGTTTTTCCGCTACCCCAAGGGCCGCGGGGCCGCTAACTTCGCCACTTGAGTGTTTTTCCCTGCTACAACCCTCAATGCCACGGCCACAGGTAAGTACCTGCCCTACGGGCCTACCAAACAAGCAAGTACCCTTGCGGGTCACACACACACTCGTACCGACAAGCACTCAGACAGGCACGCAGGTCACAAGCACGCACACACAGACGGACTTAGAAAACACAGCAGAATGCGGGAATGTCAGCAAGGCATCCATTCCATCGGCAGAACTTCAGAAATCAGCAGTGTTCTCAGTGTGTGTTTTGACGGGTCATTACAAAATTAAAAAAAATAAAAGAAGCGGATCACCCCTTTTTTTTTTTTTTTTATATATATCTGTTGATCTGTTATCAGTGAGGCATTTCACGGACAATGCTATGAGTGAGATCTAGGCAAGGTAGGATAAAGGTTCGATTTTCAGTACAAAAATAAATAAATTCAGTTTCCGAGAATGTGACAATCTCCTATTGTGCCTAGCAACGAAATGCTGATAGACTTCGCAAAATTTCGGTTTTCACAGACCAACAGGGCGCTGGGCGTCGTCGTCATCATCATCATCATCATCAGCATCATCATCAGCAGCATCAGCATCATCATCATTATCATCATTATCATCATCATCGCCATCATCAACATCATCAACATCATCAACATCATCAGCATCATCATCAGCATCATCAATTTGCAATCATAGGGTGCTGTTGGTACTGTTCTTCGGTACGATCAGCATCATCATTCCGTTATTGCTATCATCATCATCATTCTGTCATCATTAGGTGTTGCGGTTCAAGGCCTTGTTTGTCTCTCACATCAGCAGGTAAGTTTGGTCGTCATCATCATCATCTTCAGGATGACGTTTATCACCATCTGCAAATCCAAAAAAAACTCTCATCTACCTCTCTCTCCATCATAATTTCTAGAAATTTCCAGTTCTGCCATATATGTTAGGGATTCGATCTGATGGATGTGATTCAGTTGGGATAGGGCTTCTGGGGTCACGGTTGGGACTCTTGGGGGAAGGGTGGGGGTGGTATTGGGGAGCCTTACTCTAAAGGGGCGCTGCAAGGTGGGAGGTGGCTGCCCTGTCGGGGGTGGGGCAGATTTGTGGTTTGTCCTTGTCTGGGGCCGGGGTGGGAGAGTTGGTCGCCTTCAACCCCGGCGGGGGCAGATAGGGACAAGGGGAAGGCAAAGGTAACCTCTAGGAGGGAATTGGCTGCCTTTGCGGAAGGGGGGGAGGGAGGGGTCTGTTCCAGGTTGGGGCCGAGGAGGTTTTCCTCGGCGGTGGCAGCATGGGACAGTGGGCAGGGGGAAGTTTCTCTGTGCGGTGACTTTTGGAAGCTGCTTGGATCGGATTTCTTCTGTTATGCCTGGTAGTTTGAAGAGTCTAAAGGTTTGCCGGTGGGTTGTACAAAGCTGCACTGGATTTAGACTGTTATATTCAGGATTCGTGGCTGTCCATTGCCAGAACGACGCTGGCCGGAGCCGGGGTGATGCCCTGTAGCTTGCCGAAGGTGAGAGCATGAGGCCTTGCAGAGAGATCTGGGGATGCTATGCGGGGGGCATCCTAAAGGACAGCTGGGGGTTGCTGACACAGGACGACACTGGCCGGAGCTGGAGTGAGTCGCGCTGCTCTGTAACCTAGCAGTTAGGGGGTGTGGGGCCTGGTTGAGTTTGTCAGAGAATAAGTCAGTTTCGGTGAGCTTTGTTAGGATCTGAGTTTTCTGGAAAACTGTTGTGGGCCTCAGGAGGTGCTTAGAATCATTGATATAGCATAGTCTCTTTTATATACTAATCACCATCATCATCATCATTATCATCCTCATCGGAATTACTATTTTAGGCTTGGACCCCACAGGTTTCCGCCTTGGAAAAACTTTGCCGCGGAAAGTTTTCCGGTACCCCACAGGCTTGCGCAAAGTCCGTGGAAGGCCGTTTTCGTTTTCCAAAAGCCTGCTTCTGGAACCCCACACACCCGGAAACGCGGCCTCGGAAACGCCCCCTGTCGTGTTTTCACTCGGTTTCCGACCTGGAAACCACCGCGGGAGGAAAAGTCGCTGCGATTTTGTGCAGGGTAGCGAGGGCGCGGTGAAGGGTAGCCTTCAACCTTTCCAAGGTCGCGGCCGAAATGTGGACCTCCTTGTGTCCGTTTGCCATTCCGACGAGGACCTGGTGCACGGTCGAGCAGGATTCCTTGTCGCTCACTGTGTGCGGCCGTTTCAAAGGGTACCGGTCCCAGTCGCGGAGGGAAAAAAAAAAAAACCACTCTTTTGGTCCGTCTTCAAAATTTCGAATTTCGAACTTCCCCTTTCACGTGCAGCCTTGCTGTGGACATGCAGGCGACGTGGGCCAGCCGTGTCAGCTGCGGGTATCTGCTCTGCTGTGGAAGAGTACAGACAGTTCGGCGACGCACGGCTCTGCTCTGCTGTGGAAGAGTACAGACAGTTCGGTGACGCACGGCTGGATCGCAGCAGCCATATCCGAACGTCGGCCAATCGCCTTCCCATGCAGAGAGTTGGATTCCTCCATCGCAAACTTCGGCATTGGTCCTCGCTTGCCACCTCTGCACATGGTTTGGGTCGTCGCCTGCTTCATGTGGCGAGGGTATCGGATGGCGGGTCCGCGGAAAGCCATGCATTCCATGCACGGACTTTAGCAGGCCGACATAACGCATATAGCAGTCGGCTAGGGTGCGCCCATGCACCTGCAAGCGAGTTTATGACGTTGTTGCGCGCCAGCCGTTCGCCTGTCATATCCGGTTGTTGGAGAAGCTCGTCACAGGCGAACGGTGACATCGCCGCCGTCTTGCCTAGGCTTTCTCCTCGGGTGACGGTCCGACCCGCGGGAGTGCGAGGGTGGGATGTGGTGGATGTGCAAGGGGCCGGCGGACAGCCCATCTTCTCGTTTGTGCCACTGCCGTAGTCGTTCCAGCTTCCTGGACGTGCACCGCTGGACACGTCGTTCCCCGTGCACCATCGCGGAGCGTGTGCACCGACCGTCATCGTCATCGAAGGGGGCCATAGCTTTCATAGTCGGCGGAACATCGTCGCTGTGTTGGTTTGGGCGTTCGTCGTGTGTCTTGGTCTCGCGGTATTTTTGTTGGCGGTTCTTGTTGTGTGTGTAGCCGCAGTTCTCGTGACCATCCTGTCACGGCGGGGCTGACCTCGGCTGTGGTGTGTGGGAGTCGGATCTCTGTGTGCGGTGATAGCTATGGATGGGGGCAGTTTTACCTCGCAGTTGTACAGCGAATCGGGAGGGTCACAGGGCGTGGAAGTGTGCGAGGACATGAACGCGCGTTTGGAAAGCAGCAGATACCGGGCGAGCCTGTCGGCAGCGGCATGGCAATACGTGCCGGGCTCTCAATTGTCCGGTGATACACGATCGCAGTTCGTGGCACAACCCGCGCATCCCCAGGCCCCTTACGTCGTCGGGTCGATGGAGTCATCATCGCCCTTTGGTCGGGAGACGTACCCGCCGAAGTCGCATCCTCACGTCACGCAGCCCGCCGGAGGTGGAACTGCCTTCCATTCTCCGCAATCAGTTTCTGGAAGGGGGGGATCTTCAAGGACGGACGCGGGGGCGTGGGGGAGTAATCCGCACCAGTCGTCGCATCCATCACCACACTGGCCGCAAGGTATGCCGCCTTTATCGCAGCCTGTTGTCAGCCGCGACATTCGTGGTGGGGGCGAGACCTATATGAATGGTAGGTCATCTGCGGTTGATCAGGGCTACCGACAACAAACTCCAATGGGGCCGGCTACCATTCCGTACGACGATGGAGGTGCAACTGCCCCTACGCCAAGTGGATGTGATCATCAGCAAGGCAGTGTGAGCCGGGGAGTCGATACACCACCATCGGCTGATTGTCGATCAAGGGACGGTGAAAGACTGTCCTTTTCATATCCGACTGTAGGTGTGGACAATGTTCCAACTGAAGGCGAAGGGCGAAACAGGTCAAACACATGTGCAACGCAAGACACAAGTGTGAGAAGTCGGGAATGCGGCGTGGACGACGCGGAACTGGTCGACCGCCGAAAGAACGTGGTGTTGGAGAACGGCAACAGGGGGGGAAGTCCACGGCGGCGCCGAAGAAGAACACCCTGTGGACTCTAGAGGAGCGGGTGCTAGTGGCGAAAATCAGCGGCGAGGACGATGCTCTCATGGCTGATGCAGAAGGTGCTCATTCTCTCATGACAAAGGGCAGGCGTTACGATTGGATAGCGGACCGCATGAAGGAGGAGGGGTACGGACGCACAGGAGAGGATTGCCAAAAGAAATGGGCGGAGCTGCAGAAAAAGGTTCGGGAAATAAGGGATGCATGCGATGGATCGGGCAAACAGCCATACTGGGATCTAACAACGGAGGAGAGAAAGAAATTGAACATCCCCATGACTTTCGAGCGGCCGTTGTGGGATGCGATGGAGTGGTACCGCATGAAGGCTGCTTTCACCATGGACAACACAATGGCATCTGAGGATTTGAGAGGGATGGGTTCTGCAACTGCCAGCGAGGTGGGGTCAGAGGGCGGGGGAACAGAGACTTCAGGTGGCGCTCCGAAGATTCGGAGGATGAACTCCGGGAAAGTTCGTGGTTCCGATGTCGGGCAAGGTGTGTTGGCGATGGCGGCAGCTATGGAGGACACGAGTCGAACACTGTGCGAAGGTCTGGACAGGGCTGCTGGGACGTTGGCTTCGGCTACCACAGAAGGGGCCGCTTTGATGGCAGCACGGCTAGGCGACATGGCAACGGAGATCGACCACGTCGTGGGGGCAATGCGGTAGGGGAACTCCGTTTTGGAGTTGCTCGTGGGTGTGATGGCAGGTAGACGTGGCGGACCACCTGCCGGGGAAGAAGGGGGGGGGGGGTGACATGAGCGGTGACAAGAAGCAGCGAAATCACGGTTAGGCAAAGTCGGATGGGGGGGTTGTTGGGGCTGGGGTTCCAGCGTGGCCGCGCATGGGAGTCTGTATTTTGGGGCAAGGCAGCAACACCCCACACGCTGCATGGGGATAAAACTGACCCACCGCGGACATGCGAGAAGGACAGATAGGAACGAAGACAAAAACAGGAAAATTTGAATACAAACAAACAAACATGTTTCGTAAACCCGCCGTTGCGGGCAGGCTAACGGCAACAACGGTGCGAGGAACGGTCCGACGGAGAGGGCCCGGTTTCCCGATCCCAGGTGCTCCAAAACCGCGTGTGTGGATGTCGCTCGAGGGGGGGAAACCGCGTCACTCAATGCCACCCAACGCGTCGCCCCTTGGTCCTGCTTGGTCCTGCGCCAGACACCCGGACATCGCCCGACTTTCCTTTTCGGGTCCACCGCACGCTACCTTTCCCGAAAAGGAAAATTCGGCGCCCGCTTTGCCATGAAACGCACACCGCTGTGGGGTCCCGAAAAAAGCATTTCCAAGGTTTCCGAATTCGTTCGTCCGTTTTCCAAGGGAAAACTGCTTTTCCCAGGTGGAAACCTGTGGGGTCCAAGCCTTACACTTTTCTAAGAATCACTAGAAGTCCATCATTACTAGCATCACCATCATCATCATGAGGGACGCTGAGCCCGGTTCTCAGCATATTCGGTTCGGTTACTCCGGGTAGACTGTGAGGACCCCGGCCTCAATCTTCATTTAAATTAAAAAAAAAAAAAAAAAAAAAAAAAAAAAAAAAAAAAAAAAACTTTTTGCGAAATAGAATGGAGATTCGATTTTCAGAAAAGAGTAGATTTTGTTTCCCGAATATGACAACGTCCTATTGTAACCCTAATATGCCTAGAAAACGAGATGCTCACGTCAGAAATTTTTGGATACTAATATAAAAAAAAACGAAATGCTACCATCAGAAATTTTCGGATATTTGTTACATATGCGAGGATCAGGGTCCTCGGTAGGCCTATGGGGCCCTGTTTGCAGCCTTACCCGCCCTAAGTGAAGGCGGAGGTGCCTGCCCTAAGTGAAGGCGGGCCTGGCTTTTTGCAAGAGGCCCTCGACTGTCAATTTCATATTTGGGGTCCAGGCAGTTGCGACGCGCCAGTTGGTTGAAAGAAACACAGGCCAAGCACCGAAGACATTTCCACAGCCTACCGGGCCTTTCCAAAGAATGCAGGCCCTGGGCGTGATTCGCAGCCTCATACAGAGACAGTTTGACGCCCAACCGAACGAGGCCCAGCAGCCCAGTAGTTGCTGCATCCAGGCAGCCTCCTGGGGCCTTCCGGAAGCTTTTGGGCCCAGGCCAGCCCAGCCAGGCTGCGAGAGCTGGCCAGCTCTTCTCTAATACTATAAAGCAAATAGAGGGTCTCGCGTGACGGTCCCACGCGAGCACCCGTTGCCAGCGTTGCGAAAAGTCGAGACGGGCCCAGGGCCCATGCTAGGAGCGGCCGGCGAAACGGCGCCGCGGACAAACGGGTCTGCAGCGGGCGGGGAATTGAGGAGCTGTCGGGAGCGGGCGGGGAATTGAGGAGTGGCCGGCGAAACGGCGCGGCGACCAAACGGGTCGGGAGCGGGCGGGGAAACACCGAGCGGGCGGCACACGGGCCGGGAAACCAAACGGTCGGGGAATTGACAAGCGGGCGGGGAAACAGCGGTGGGTGAGCAGCAAACGGGCGGCAGAGGTGTGCATGTCGGGCGGGTGGGAAACTGCGAGCAGCCGCGAGAGGTGTGACGGAGAGCCCATGCACCCGGCGCACAGATCAGAGGGAGGGAGAAACAGAGGGAGACGCAGATGAGGTGCAGGGAGGAGAGAGTGCGAGTTCGGAAGATAGATAAAGGAGGGAGAGAGAGAGAGAGGGAAAGAGACCGCGCGATGAACAGGGGGAGAGAGTCGTGAAAGGAGACGTGGATGAAGTGCAGGGACTACGGAGTGTAAGGACAATGAACAGGGGGAGGAGTGTTGAAGAGCGCAGTGAGTCGTCACAAGCAACAGGAGAGAGAGAGAGAGGGAAAGAGACAAAAGGAGACGTGGATGACGTGCAGGGAGTGCGGAGTGCAACGCGATTTATCCACGAGGCGTGTAAACGTGGGGGCAGGATAGAAACGGGGAGACAGTGGGAGAGAGCAACAGCGGGATCGCCCGGGAAGAACTTCACAAAAAGTCTCTCAGTCGCCGCAAGCAGCGCTACCATGGGAGACCAAGGTACGGTCCATATCCTTCATCCTCTTTCGCTCTCTCTCTTCCTCTGTGTGTTCTTCTTCTTTCTCGGCCTCCCTCGCACTTCCCATCTCTCTGTCCGACGGGTGGAATCGGGGTTTCTTTCTCTCTCTCTCTCTCTCTCTCTCTCTCTCTCTCTCTCTCTCTCTCTCAGAGAGTACGGCAACAGGTAACTCTCCAAGGCCACGGCTGGCCTCACGCAATTTCCATTGAAAAAATGACCAAAATCGATCAAATATTCCGCTACAACGTCGAAAGATTCACTACTACACGCGTGTGTATGTGTATGTGTGTGTGTGTGTGTGTGTGTGTGTGTGTGTGTG